TTATTTTCTTTTTTATTTTTTTAAATCTCTTTTTTTTTTTTTAATCTTAATCGATGGACGACTAAACCCTTATTTATGATTCCTTTTATATACCTAGAAAAAAAAATTAATTATTAATTTAATGATAATAATTTAAAGTCTTCCAGATCATGGATTAATATCTATAATTTAAAAAATTATAATATTTATTTAATAACTCTCTCCCTCTCTTTTATGGTACAAATGCAAAATGTCCTATTTACTTATTTTAAAATAATAATTTTAAATAATTTTAATTTTTAGAATATTGATCAAACATATACGAAATACATACGTAGATGAAATACAAATCCACGACAACAATCTCTTTTCTTTCCCATTTCGCACGAAAGATCTTTGTTTGCTCAGGGTTGGTTGTTTCTCAACTCAATGCAATTTCTATGCAGGAGGATGGTTAAAGATTTGCGGACTGTGACGTTTCGATGAGAAAATGCCACGATGCTGCGGCGCATCTTTGGTTTCCGTCATGGACGGCGACGGGTCTCCGCAGAGTCTCGGTTTGCAGATTCAGGACGGTCAGTAATTAACGATAATTGACTATTACTTTTACGCGAGTCTCGTTTCTGCGAACATGTCCATTGTGTTTTCCATTCTCATTGACCTTCGAACCAGAGGATTTCTCCACGGGTATTTAGACGATGAATTTAAATATTGTCGACGAATAAACAATAAATCTAATATCTGTTCTTCGTTGAATTATTTGATGGATATTTTAAATTTAGGATATAATACATTTTCCATTCGACGTTCTGTACAAATTTAATCTTGCTACGTTTCATGATAAATTTCATTCATAATATAGAATTATCTTAATAATTAAATGTTATTATATAAATTTATAATAATTTCTTTAGGTTTATTTTTTGAATATAGTTGATATATAATCATGATGATTCAATTGTAACATGATTAATTATAAAATTAGTTATAAATTAATCTTGTATATTTATTTAACATTAAATCGAATAAAATATATATCTCCAAAAAATTTATTTAGTTTATTAATTTATTTATCTATGATGATAACTTTTAATTGATCATTATATAAGATATGCATTCTATTTCTAGATAGAACGTATACTAAAATTGTTATATGTGAATTAACATTGTATGCGCTTCATGTTGAATTACATATTCATTCTTCTTCTCTTTTTATCGATCTCTATAGACGAGTTTTTTTTTCATTTGTATACATTGAATTTACGTCACATGGAATAAATACAGCAAAACGGACAGAAAAATATTTCAATTAATAAATTTTTTTTAATTGTGTAAAAAGCGTAGATTTTCTACTAATTTATTATTCGAGTTATTATTTCACGTTATTGCAACGAAAATAATTACGAAATTAAATATATGAAATAGTGTTCTATTTAAATTCTGGAATTTCTGTGATGAACGAAAAACGAAAGAAAATGTTCAAATAGATGTTCAGGTAGAAATATTATTTACAATTCTGATAATATGACCGTTTTCCTCTTGAAGTGAAAGCTTTTAGAAAGTTAACAGAGAGTCGTCATATTTCCGCTAAGTTTGAAGATTGTGTAAGTTGAATTGATTATCCGCTGTAAAACTTTTTTAAGAATAAATATAGAATGGAAGATAATCGGGGAATTAAAATATATAGTACTAAATTTCAATATCCGATTGCGAATATATACATTCTATTGTAAATAAATTGAATTAGAATAAGAATTTTCGAAACGCGTTAATAATTAATATTTCTTATAACTGAAAACTGAAAACTACGTCAGGAATTCTTAATGTGTTAAATATGCTAATTCAATTTCGATCTGAATATTAAGATAAAAAACACGTGGACAGTCAGAAAACAAACCAGTCACGAATTGTATTATGAAAAATATTTTTCAATAATACGAACATTTTAATGTTAAATTTTTTTTAAAATATTCGATAATCCTTCTATTTCCATAAAAATCAATGACAATCATCAATTTATTATATTTGTTTTGCTCAATATTAAATTATAATCATATTTTCATTGTTCAATTTTGAATTATAAATTTCATGATAAAAATATGAAAAAAATATACAAAAATTTGAATAATAATAATACTGAATAATAATAATAGCGGCCATGGATTCCCAGCAGTCAAAAAACGCTCGACACGATTCGTGTCAACGAAAATATAATTTCTAAAAATACATTCCTCTTCTTCTATTTTCACGATCGTATCGATAAATTAAAATAAAGAAAACAAAGGAAAACGAGCTGATCTTTTATGTTTTGCAGGCAATCCCCGAAATAAAACCGCGCTAGCACCCGGCCACAGTTTGATGGACTGGATCCGATTAGGCAATTCTGGAGTCGATCTAACCGGCGTTGGTGGTGTTCCACGGATCGTAACATTATCCGAGTTGGCCAGTCATAATAAGCAAAACGATGCTTGGATCGCGATTCGAGGTAACGGCTCTATTTAAAATAAAAGTACATTCGATTCTAGAATTCTTTCTCTGTGTCGAGAGAGAGAAAGAAGTTTTTAAAGCCTGTTTAAAAATTCATTATAATGATAAAAGTTGTAATATATGTTAATACGATACAGAGACCTTGAAAATTGCTCTTGCATATTTTTTTAAGCACGAAATTTTTTTAATAAGCTGCAAGCGCCATTTTTTTATTTTGAACCATTATTCTTCTTTCGAACTTCTTCCCACTTTTTTTCGATTTACATATATCTTTTTCATTTCGTTAAGTTATATATATATACGTATAAAATATTGTCATTTCTTAGATATTTAAATTTTTTATTTTTTCGAATTTAAGTTTTAATTTTTCTTGAATATTTAAATTCTTCACGTATTCGTAGCAAAAAGATATCTAAATATATCTATCATTTTTTAATTCATTATTTTTGCATAATTTATACTTTATTGCCATTATCAATATTCAAAATATTCATTTATATTTCTTATTCTTTCTAAACTCCAATGTAGTTAAATTTACGGCCTCGTAGATCTATAAATCATTTTCCTCGATTACAAAATACATGGAACACTTAAATTCCTGTCTAACTTCGAAACTTAACTTTCGCTCGGACCCGTTTCTAATAACATTTCCCTCGAACAACGAAACTCAGTTTCCACCAATCAAGATTACTCATTAATCTCATTTCCACGAAGGGAAAGCGATCGCATCGAATTATACAATCAGATTCATTGGAATTAAATCGAAGAAAAGAAAAATCGATGGATACGGAGAGTGATCTTGAAATTCATTTGGTTAATGGGATATCGGTTTTAACGCGACTTCCTTTGGTTTATGTATTATGGAAACTCAGTTTTAAGTTTAGCTTAACGAAATAGGTGGGCAAAGACAAGCGAAGTCTTTATAAATTGGAAAATTACTTAATGAAAATTAAATAAAATGCGAGAATCTGGGCCAACATGGAATTAAACTAGATGTTGATTTCTCATGCAACATTCACTTCTAAAATTTCGTTTTATTTTATTTTATTTTTTTTTTTTGTATCTCTAAATAAATTTTTTAATCATTTTCCTTCGTCGTTTTTGATTTTTTTGTTTTCAGAATGTTTCCGATAAACTAGTTTCATTATCTAACAATTATCTTTTCGTTTAGTAATTTTTCACTAAGTGAACGATGACTCAGAAAAATGGTCGTTAACAGAAAGCACGAGGAAATATCTCAAATATTAAACGAGAATGGAGACTAGAATAGAAACTAGAATGGTAATATTATACGAGAAAATTATAGGGGAACTCTAAACTATGGTTGAGTAAAATAATTTAAATTAGGAAATAGAAATTCAAACTCGTTCCTTTATTAAGAAAATTCTTTCCATTATTAATATCACTTTTATGTATTAGGCGGTGATAATCGATGGG